GTAACATGTCAGCTACGCCATTCACAAGCGCGGTTCTTCAAAGGCAATCGAAAGTTAAAAAATGGGTTTAAGCCATCTTTCAATCACGAATTGACCAATCAGTGAGTGCGATTCCACTCACACGCTTATTGATTGGCTATACAACTTAATTTAAGTAACAGAACAGAACGTTGTATTCATTTCTATAAACCTATCCCGTGAAACGTAAAGGATTGACAGGTGGCCTAAGCCACTTTAGCATTTGTCGATGGTTTTTTCCTTTGAATATATCTACAACAGCTACCGCTCAGCAGATCTTATTATACTCTTGTTTGTAGTTAGTACAAATTATAAAACAAAATGTTGCTTACTCTGAATCCCAATTGTTCAATTTCCCTAGGTGTTATTTTAATTATACAATGGATGGAAAGATATGCCATGGATTTAAGTGCTACATTACGTACTTAAGCCTTGGCGACACTGGCAACATTGTTGCACGACCATGTTGTTCGAAATTCTGTTGATTTTTTGCCGACTAAACATTGTGGCCAAACTGGGCAACATTTTCATACAACATGTATGGCTGATGTTGTCCGAATAAAGTTGTAAGAGTTGACAGAGTGGTCCTTGAGATGACTGCCTAACGTCTACAGGAGTTATTAGAAAACCCTCATTTGTTATTTAACAAACCTAACTATAATATCATGAAATTCCTCTTAGATTTAATTTCAACAATTAGATTAGATTTCATTTTAGATTGCATTCATCACCACCTTTCCAAAGTAATTTCAATGTCAATGTGATTTTGCAGTTTATCTTTCAGCAATATTTTGCGCTGTCCCTTTGCAAAATAGGTATGCATGTGTACACAGGGCTTTGGGCGCCGGGGGATGGGTCACAACTCCACTTTCTTGAACCAAAAGAGCTATTTTGCAAAACGATTTGTTTTATTTCTTCAGTTGCTTCAATTGCCTGTCTTATCTCCACTTTCAAATATCTATCAAAGCTTTTTGATACATATATTGCATTTAAAGTTAATTATTTGCTTGTTTTGGGGAGGGAATTTGAGTTAATGCTTAACAAAGCCTTAGAGAATGCTTTGCATTTCATAGTTTTATAAAGGAAGATACCGAGTTTAGAAGTTGAACTATTCTTTTTAAATCTAGCTTTATTAGATACCCTTTTCCTCAGTTTGATAGCAAGACATGCTTGCATTTTAAGAGCTATAGACACGATTTTCATGGATCTCGCTTTTTGCCATCTCTGCAAAATCTAGAATCATTTTAGGTGCCTAAACAGATAGTGCCCCGGAGAACAGACTCAGGAGTCTGGGGTTTGAATCCTTGACATGAACAAACTTTTACTTTTAGTAAGGGGAGACGCCAGCGAACTGTAATTACAGGCAAAGGAATGATGAGGTGTGGTCACATCGAAAGAAAAGACCAGGACTCTGCTCGATAAGCTTAGTTTTCCAATGTCAATAAAGCTACCCTCGGATGCTAGGTAGAAACAAGTAAAAAAAGTAGAAGCACGCTGGCTAGAAAGAGAACGAGGCGACTCTTCAACGAGAGGCTTCGAATCATGAATGGGCAATCGAATAGCTAAAATATCCACAAAATCCGTATTCTTTTGGGAGTATTTGATGTACAGTAATTGCAAATACTGAGTTGCTATTTCTGGTATTTTATTGATAAAATTGTTCTGAAATGTTTGTTTTGGCATGTCATTTGCCAACTCAGTAAACATTTTTAAATGAGAAGAGAATTTTCAATTAAAACTTTGGGTATGATATCAAGATTCATATCTCGTGGCGTCAAACCTCTCAAACACAATGTCTAAAGAATTGAATGTAATATTTTCAAGCCAGCAGTTAAGAACACGCTAGATTTTTAACAGACTTGCAAGACAACATTTAACAAACAGTACTTAGAACCTTAATTATTTCATTGCCAGTATGCATGGGAGATCCCGAACTCCCGAACGGGGGTGTGGGGGGATGTCAATCCCAGGGGCGTCGCGACCGGGGGTGTGGGATGTGTCACCCCCCCCTGATAGTATCTTAATAGGAAATTTCAGGTAAAATCTGTTCGGTGGAAGAAACGCTTTAGATAGTTCAGAGACCTCCATTTCATAAAATCAATAAAGGGTCAAGCAAAGGTAGTTGCTTCGTTGGTTAAATATGATATTCCTTTATGAGTGAACGTAAACAAACTAATGGACTTGAAGATTTTTTGTTGCCACTAAATCCAAAAATCCAGGCCCTCTTTAGGTAAAATTGTGTCTTGTGTCTATTCCCCCTAAAGTTTCTTGGTAGAAACGTCAATTGCAATTCACTATCAGCTCTAGATTTTTTTAACATTCAAAAGGTATGCTAAGATGGAAAGAGGGATCTAAATTGGCAACCAGTGCTCTTGTTACCTTGCTTTAGAAGTAACTGACAACATGGTAGCTATTTTTCAAGACCACGGCGAAATTGTACTAGTTGTTTTTATCTGCTGTCAAATTTGTTTGCAAAAAAATAATTTTCAATAGGATTAGAAGGATTGCTTTAGTGAAATGTGCCTAAAAGAGTGCATTTTCAAGGGAACAGAAACATCAAAGTTCGATTGTGTTGCACTCATGCACTGCAGCAAAGATTGCTTTACATTCCGAGGAAAGGTACGGCATATTCAACCTGGCAAAAAATCTCTACAGGCTTTTTTTCATTGCAGCCCCATCTGTCGCTACAAATATACAGTCGTCCAGCCCGGTGAAAAGCGTAAAAAGATATGCCAAAAACAAGGCAGACGAAGAAAAATTGAACAATCTGACAGTTTTTTCTGCAGAGAGAGATATAACTGACAATATTAGGTCTGACAAAATTTTGAAGAAATCAATTAATTAGGACATCATCATTATTAATTGATTCTCTTCAAAGTTTAGAGGTGGATAGAATCTATTCAGGTAAAATAGTTATTTTCACAAAAAATCACACGTACGCTATTGGTTTGGTCGTAGCGGTTGCTAAACCTTTATTAGGAGGGGGGCTTAGTGTAAATCCTGTCCCAAACTTATAACTACCCTGAGAATATTTGCCCGAATGGGCCCTGAAATGCGATAAATTTTGGTTGGGTTGCAGCCCCCCGGCCCCTATGTCGCCTACATCAATTGGTTTGGTTGGGTCGCGTTTGACAGCATCGGAATTCAAGTCTGAGACATTGGCGTAGTCTGCTACTTTAAATTGAGGTTCTGGTTCTTATAATACAATCAGAAAGCGGCATTTTGTAGAAAGATTTTGAATGCTTGTAGAAACCAACAGGATTAAAAATGCTTCATAAAGATTAGCATGGTGCAGAATTATTCTCTAATTTGCTCATCACTGAAACTTGTCACTGTAAAATTGATTAGTTTAACCTTTTCGCACAATGGCTAATGATACGTTGGAAGCGCGAAACATCGAGGAAAATTTCATTTTTTCTTGCAATTCTCAAACCAATTTCATGTTTCATGTGGTGGGAGAAAACAGACCTTGACTGAAAAAATACATGACCTAAATCAAGAAATTTCCAAAAAATATGTCTTTTTTATTAAAAGATTAACTAGACCTCTCTGTAGAAATTTTCTTTTTGACATTTTTTATCATTTGGTTATCTGAAAGTTTTATAAATTAATCTTCTGCCACTCTGCTCACAACAATACATTATACTAACCCCTTCCTGAGTATTTAAACGAGACTTGTAGCCTCGCTATCTTGATCAAGCTATCCTTTGCATCTATAAAATCACATTGCTGTGTTTATTTTATAATCGCATTTGAAAAAATTATTTGATGCATTTGTTGCACGATATTGTTTGAACACCTGCCTGTCTCTTGAAAGAAATAAACTCGGTTTGTTTTTGTTATACCTGTTCGAATACGGGTTTTAGAGCGTTAGCGGAATAGTCAAAGACATTTAGGCCTTTGCTTCCAAAAAAATTTGGGAGTGAATTTGTAATATCATTTGGTAAGTAAGGAAGGAAAGAAAAATGTAGGCCGATTAATGTATTCCAGACCACTTTCTCTGATCTGTCAGTGCTAAGAGGAAAAATTTGTTTTGTTGTTCTTTATGTTCATTCTTTTTTTCTTGACCTATACACCATAATTTTGCTTTAACTATTTAGACCAGAATTGTATTTCATATGATAATCTTATAACAACTATCAAATAATCCATTTTCACTTTTTGTCAAATCACATGTTGACGGCAGCCAATAGAATCTCGATTTAATCAGCCTTTCCAGCACTCAAGTTTGAAGATATTAGACCAGATTTCTTAAATCATTACTTCACAAGTAACTTCTTTTATGAATATTTCCAGAAATTTTATGAAGATTTTACATTCTACCTCTTTTTTTAATACGAGCAAGATAATTTTTGTCAAACTGTTCGAGGCTTGATTTTCTTATGTTTTAGATCTTTTGAGGCTGTGGTGTTTGTTGTTGCTGTTGTACTTACTTCAACATTGAATTTTCTACATCTACATTCCAAGACCACAAAATAACTTTTTCAATAACATTTTTAACACACGGTAGTTGATTACCAGAAAGAGCCTCCTCTGTTTTGTTGACTCGAGCGAAAATCTTCTGAACATATTCTTTCTTATCTAGTTTTTCATCCGAGGCTTGGCTTTGGGGAAATCGAGCGTCGGTGTTCTTAAAAATGGGTTCTTACAAAACAGAGTTTCTAGAGAGGATCAGAGGTTATGCAGTTTCTTGAAAAAAAGTGTGTAGTGTAATGGTGCTGAAAATTCATTGATGTGAAATTTTGATTTTGTAAACATCCCCAGTATTTCTCTTCTGGGAAAGTTCTTATTGTTTTCTGTATGCAATTTCGTCAGGGAAAGTAAGTTACAGTACCTGATATTTTCGATTAGAGTTTCCCAGCCAAATCTACCCTCCCCCTCCCCCCGGCGAGAAACTTTATTTTGATGTCAAAATTTCAAAATTATATCTTCAATTTTTTTACAATACAATACTTTTACAATAATTCTCTCTATAAAACAGTCAGTTTTTCTAATGTTCCCTGTCACCGCCATCTAGTCACAGAAGAGACAAAGCCTTTATTTTTTCTCAGCCAGGAGTCAGTTCTTTAGAATTTGTTTCAAACGAGAATCTAACCGCGATAATCTCCGGCCCCTAGACATAATAAAAAACCTTTGCATTAAAAGCCTGTCCTTGCTAAACGGTTAATTGTAAACACAGCTAATTGTGCGAAGTCACATTTTTATTATACTAGCGTGTGCAAATGTGTGAGCGCGTTCTCTCTTTATTGAACCTCCTGGGCAGCAACACAAAAGCGAAGATGCGGAAATGCCCGGACGCTTCCATTTCTCCAGGATGAAATTTGAGTTTGTGGGCATATTTGCAAAAAGTTGCAGGCTTTCTGGTCAAAATGTTGTTAAGTTGAAGAAAGTATTAGCAAATCTTTGAATTTGGACGCCGAGGAGTTGTAAAACCGGAGGTAGCATATAGCAGCCTTGTTGCAACTGCGATTACGGGTGTCCATTTGAGCAGTTATTTGCTCCATCAATCGACATTCAGAGACGTTCGAAGTATAATTAACCATGAGGAGGTTTTTAGCTAAGCCGCAAATTGAAATCCCCAATTGAGGTTGGCAACAAGTGGATAAAAACGTCTGAAAAGCTATTCGCCAGCACACAACACTCCGTTCATGAATTCAAGGAAAAGCTGAGCTTGCAAACTGGAGTCAAAACGGGTGTCCAAAAAGATTTTACTCGCAACTTAACAATCTTCGATGATGCGAATTTTAACTGACCTGGTAAAAACAACGATCGAAGAAGTTGCAATGCTTCTCTAAATTACTTCTTCGTTTGGTCAATAGCGGAATTTGTCAATAGCAATTTTTTTCTCAAATGAAATAGTTGTGGTATAGATACAGTATTTGAATCCAAATGATCTTTGGTATGCTTGAAACAAATTTGAGCTTTTGAACAGAAAGAAGATGGATCTTATGTGACAATCGAACTTCTCTCGCAATTTGACAGTTGACAACATTAGCAAATTATTTTGATATCAAAATACGATTAGTAGCTGTCGAGAAGTGCCTGAGAGAAAAATCTGGACAATTTGTCAAACAGCGAGGAGCGGAAAAGTAGGCGGGCTACGGCATAACTTAGTGCGAAACTTGCATTGTAAAAAAACAAAACTTGTAAGGATCGACCACCATGTCTGGTGAGGCAGCCCGGATTCCTTTGCAACGTGGGTTTAGCCGGCGAAGCTCGGTCGTGATCAAAGCAAAAACCAGCAATTTGGATGAAGTATTGAAAGAAATCGGAGGATGTAGCCATTATCAAATTCGTAGACATGTTTTGTTTTTCCTCATATCGATACCGTTTGCTTGTCAGAGTCTTTTCATGGTTTTCGCAGGGCAAAAACCTGATATTTGCATTGAAATTGGGTTGTCTGAATGTCGAAAAATTGACACCACACACAAAGAAGATTATTGCCCATTCTCTTCAAGACAATACTTATTTATGCAACCCGAAAAATTTTCAGTAATTACAGAGGTAAGTTCTTGTTTCGCACATTAACACGTGTTAATTTTGATTTTTTTACAATAATAAATTTATAATTACGTTTTCAACACTTTGCACTGCTTCAGTTTTGCACAAAACTTTCAAGGCAGATTTTAGGAATATGCATGACATAATAAAAGTTTATTTTGAGTGGAAGTTTTGTTGTTCCAATCCAGGATCTAGCAAGTCCTGTTGTTAATGCATACTGAGAATCAAATTAACCGTGGTCCAAAACGAAATTAGAGAAAACAATGCATCGCTTTTTTAACAAGTTGAATGTTTATTTTCGGAGGACGGCTTCCGGAGAATAATGTGCTGCTTTCTGTCATTTCAATACCTGCCATTTGATTGTCCGGCCAATGGTGTGTATGTTGACATTATTTCAATAGTGTGCTCGAGAAAATCTAGCAAAGATATGAACCAAAGCTGCATCGGTTTTCAATATATCTTATAATTTGCTTGTATGATTTGCTTAACAAGAAACCCTAATTAGACTTTTCCCTTTGTGTTATTCACCAAATTAGGTAGGAGTGACGGTTCACGATCAAAGATGATTTCAAAATTAGCGCAGAATAAGCACAATATTCATTTCGAGAAAAAAATCATAACTTGTAGATTTTACATTTCCAAATAATCTAGACTTGACAGACTAAAAATATCTTCAGGGGTCCAAGACAACCTGGTGGTAGAGAAATCAAGTGTAGACGCCCCCCGTGTATTAATTTCAGAAGAATTTGCCCTCCCCCCGTCGCTTATTAGCACTCCCCTTCTATCAAATTTTACAAATCAAGTCATTTGATTTTCATTATGCGTTGTTTTTCAAAGTTTTTGTAAAACCTAAACCGTCCAAAGGAAACCGATGATTTTTGACTTGGAAGTTAAAAGCTGTAAATTTGATTTATCTTTGTATGATTGCAATTCTCTCTAAAACTATGCAAGAAACTGAAAGCAAATTTTGACAGTATATTCTGAAAGGTACTTCGATTTCAAGGAAGGATTGCCAACATGGACACCCCCTTCTATCAGCACCCCCTTCTATTGAAAACTGGTCGACATGAACACCCCCTTCTATTAGAGACACTTGAGTATGTTGTAGTGAAAAGAGCCTTGAGGAGCCTTCGTCATTTGATCATTATTATTATTATGAGCATGAAAATCGTGATCGTGATTGTCGTGTTCGTGATCGTATGATTCTTACCATCGCGATTGAATATTATTACAAGGCTAACCAAATACATAGGTATATGAAAATAAGGTAACCTCTAGGCACAGCTTTGTTCCTACCTGTGCAGCGTTATTTCTGATTTTGCATGTTAGAGGACCTAACATGGTCAACAAAACTCCAAATCATTTGTTGGAATGAATATAAGCAGCAACAACAACTACTGTAAAATGTGGCATCAACATAAACAACAATTTCTAATTCAAAACTTTCAGTTCCCGCTAGCTTTCACACAGGGATCAGAAAATGGTGCGGGTAATTTCCTCTGTTTGTAGGTTTGGTTTTGCATCAACTTTTACCAGCAATTGGATAAGGAACTCAGCGGCCCCATACAGCAGATGTAGTTGCCTTGTTCTTTCCAACAAGGACCTGCTAATTCTTTTGTAAATTTCACAGCGATTATAATAAACATTAGGCTTGAAGCCTAGGCGTACGATAAAGTGGAACTGCAGGCATTCTATTGAAGCATGTCTATTGAATCACAATTTCTAGCTTCCCTGATGCATTGACAAGACGACAAGCTCCTTTTATCCTTTTACGTTTCTATGATACAAAATGAAATGTCGCCGTGGTTACCCTCTACTTATCGATGGGAACCAAGGCAAAATCTACGATTGACCATTTTTATTGCCACGAAGAATATAAAATGTTGTTTTATTTTTAACCTACTCAAGCAACAAGTCTTTGTGCTTTTTAAGTAATCATTTAGTCCTCATTGCTTTATTGCTCCCTGAAATTTGCATTCTGAGTTAGTGTGGTCCAAAAGTTATAATTTTGAGACAACAGAATATTCACCAGGTTGTTTGGGGCTGGCGAGGACAAAACATTAAATGGGAATACAATCTCCTTTTGAAAGATGCCAAGAGATTTTGGCTGTCAAAGTCCATATGTTATCTGGTACAGTTATTCATGAAAGCCCTTCAGTTGTCCATGATGGGCGTGAAATTCAGTGTTGCAACCTTGAGTCGTGTTGTTCTATACACCGGGGCGCTTGCAACACAGCTCTGCCTAAACGGCATCAAGCACTATAAGCTTAGAACAGTCCTCTGAACTTAGCTTAGAACAATCTTCTTCCATACACCAAAGCATCTACAGCTCCGCCCACATGCCATCTATAATCGTTGCCAAAAGTACTTGGAACACTCAGCAAATTGCGTTGTGTTTTATATTTTTCAATTCTTAGCATTGTAGCACCTATTAGAATAAGGCCAACAGCAATTTTCATTGAGTCAAGCGTTAAGTTAGAAATTACTTCTCCTACCGTCAGGTAGTTATGATTCGATATTGCTTCAAATTTACAATCGAAATTTTTACAGCATTATTTCCAAATTTTTATCATTTACTGAGATAGTGTCTCTCTCCGTTCAGTTTGAGCTTGTCTGCGACAAGAGCTACCTTGAGCAAATTGCCCATTCCATGTATTTTCCTGGTGGTTTCCTTGGCACAATTGTAATTGGATGGATAGCACATCGGTGAGAATTTTTACTAATTTTTATCTCCTTTTTAATACTGAATTCAAAATTTCACTTCTAACATAAAGCTGTGGTAAAAGAGAGTTTCATTTTGTTTCAGTGAATATCTATAGACTCGTTTAAACATTTCTTGGAAACTGAAGATTTTTTAGGTCCCTCTTGACAAAGACAGTGTCCCCCGGATTTCCACTGTGGTTTTAGGAAGAAAATTCTGGCAGATCCTTTAAAGTCGCCGTTCATAGCATTCCGTGTTTGGCTTTTTGAAGGTCTTGTATAGTCGTTATAGGAAACAGGAGACAAGGAACATTATAGCGGAAACAAAAAATCTCTACAAAGGCTCATGCCATCCATTTGTTCTCAAATGGAACGTACATATTAATCATGCAATGTTGGTTGTCCAGAAAAAATTTTCAGAACATATTGAGTTCCATTTCAGTGGCAGATTTAAAGGGCAACTAAGGGCAGTTAAGCCGCAATATTTTAGTAACTTCACTATTAGTATTTTAGTTTCAAAATTAATATAAAAAACGTTTCTGGGAAGCAGTGATAAAAGCAGTATCGCCTTTGCCATGACCAATCATATCTGCTAGAAAATTTAATGTGCAGTAAATTCCTTAGAGAACGAAACTGTGAAAACTGTTAAAATAGAATTGGAATAACGAAAAACGGAGAAAACTAAACAAATCGATTTAATCAAGTCCGCTGTTAAATAACTCCATTCATTTGCACTTGGATACAGTATAAAAGTCATTAAATCTTTTTAATGTTCATCCCGTTAAATATATTTCAACTATTTTAACTATTTTAACGTTAAACTATTTTGACAGACCTCTTTGCCTTTTCAAAAAACAATTGAGTCAGGAGATGTATTCGTGTGAGCTAGTTGTTCATATTTCAAACATAATTTCTCGCTTAACGATGTTTAGAGCAACCTTTCAAAGAAACACCCCTTTATATCTGTGCATTTTCTGACGCTCTCAGAATTTTGTGATGGCCAACCAACCTATCCTCTCCACCTGTGTACTGACTGGCTGTGGTCCCTAGAATGCCAACGAGTATATTTACTAAAAGTCTACCAAACATTAAAAGTCATCTCCAATTACCTATTCAAATTTTGATCCCTATTAAAGTGCACTTTCTGTTATTTAAATTACCTCTGGAATCAATATTTCTCGAATTCCACATCAAATCTATGACTTCCACGACTAAAAGCTTTCTACCAGTTTACTCCCTGAATAAATCAGCTTTATCTATTTTTTTGTCAATATTGAAAAGTAAATGTTAGTTATTCCTTTTATTAAACGTGTTTGACTTTCTTTTGGTGTGCACAAATTTACATATTAATGTGAAAACAAAGCATTAGCGAAACAGGGAAATTGGGTCGGCAAATTATGGAAAATAATACTTTGGCTTACGAAAGACCTTCTGTTATTAATCCTAGCTTTATGGTTGCTCATTCTTTTTCCAGTAGCCAAGACTACCTTGACTCTGGTTTAATGAAAAGTATTAAAAGAACTTATAAGTGATAAAAGAAACTCCAGATGCCTTTTTATGCAATTTCAACACTAATATTTACGCCTTTTACCCAAATTTGAAGTATTTTCTATGTGCTAGGCAGAAAAATATTTAACTGTGCTTTTTAGGGAGATTTTTGTGGCTTATTGCGAAATTTTGATGTCCATTAAAATATTGAACAGTAGTTAATACGTTTCAAGACACATTAGTATATGGTTTGCCAGATATAGCTTTAAGAAATACCATATAATTAAAGTAGATTGTGCACTTTAGGGAGATTTTTAGAGGCTTTTTGCGAAATTTTGATGTCCATTAAAATATTGAACAGTAGTTAATACGTTTCAAGACACACTAGCATGTGGTTTGCCAGATATAGCTTTAAGAAATACAATATAATTAAAGTAGATTAAGCGAAATTCGCGGTGTCACCCAGAGACTGTACAGTCTCTCCACCAACACAGCCTCCTTTTCTGACTTCTTCTCGACTTACCTAAATTTTTCTGCCGCATTAAATGCTACTTAATATCCAGGTAAATCACAGCCTTATGCAAGGCAAAAAAATAGTTTACAATCTAATTGCTGCTCTGAAAAGGTTGAGAGAACCCCTTTTTGATACAAAAGTTAAAGATTATCAGCCAAAATTTCAAAGTTTAGTTAGCTGTTTCTGTTTAATTTTGCGGAAATTTCCGGAGAATTTCTTCAGTTATTCATTCTAGTTTGTGCAAGGAAAGGAGAGGAGAGGCAAGGCAAGCACCTCGCTAAGCATGTGCATTCAACTCGTTTTGGTCATTATTACTCGTCTCTAACATACAAGGAATAATCTTCAAGTGCACAAATCATCTAAAAAATATTGCTTCTATAGATTCATTAACTTGGTGTCGTTCTTTTGACAAGTGTCTCGTTTATTGGATGGCGCATGCAATATTCCCTATCCATTGACCCTTCACTCTCTTAGACAGCAGTTAAACTTTTCACCTTTATTCTGCCACTATAGAGATACCAGGTTTTTCTGAACAAGGTACAACAATAGCTCATTTATTCCCTGATAACACCGATTTATCAAGTGAACTTTGCAACCTGAAGATTCGTTAGGGTCACCTCTAAAGCCAGGAATAAAAGGTAACCAAAGAAACTCTCATCCTGGTCATCAAATTGCGCTTGAAGACAGCTAATCATTACTTACTCACTACATGCGTGTAATGATAGATTTCGGATCAATCGTGGTCATGGCCGTCGCTGCTCTACCACAAAACCATCTAATGTGGTCTTCTTATCCGAAACTGTATATAATGTATGTTGCACTGAAACGAATAGTTGAAAGATGTGCCTAAGATAGCAAGAAAGAAAGGGACTAACCATTCATTGGAATGTCATAAATTTACTAGAGATACTTTATTCAAACAAAATTCAAACGTGGTTAAAAATCAATTATCGTTGCACACTGGATGAATTAGGCAAGATAAACCCAATGCAATACATAAATACCTCTAAATGTGAAATATTCACAAATGCAAAGCCGTCCTTATGCTAGTCACGGGAGGCTGTCGAATAGTCTACCAATGGTTTCGTCTTGTGGTAGAGTCAAATCATGCTTTTCTAGCATATATCTAAAGAACAATAAAGATAAGTTAAGAAAAATGCGAAAGGAAAGGACAGAGGCTAAAATATGCGATCAGACATACGATATATCAAAAAGGGGTTTGTTTTTAAGACCCAAAAGTAGTATAATTTGATTTAACCCCATATAATAAACGATCCCTCGAGAAAGGTACCGGATTTTAAAGTTTTTGAACGATGCCTTTTCATGCTCTTCTAAGGTTATGTACACCCAGTTATCGAATTTCTTAGAATAGGAGTTTTTCCACAATCTTGTAAAGTAAAAATTAACAACAACAAACTTGTAGTGACGATTTTCCATTTGTCATCAACCTCGCGTATCTTTGCATGCAATGTTTTTTTACAATCTTGAGAAAAATTGTCACAGGTTTATTTCTCGACTAATTTCTAAACTAAAGAACCTATCAAAAGATTACCTGACCTGGTTCTTACCTATTAAGTTCAAATACGTAATTCGTAAAAAACGAACGTTCTTATGTTTCCAGTTTTATCATACTGGTAATTCCATCAGAAAAGTATATCCCAAATTCTTATGAAAGGAATAATCGAGCTAGCTGAACCACACTACCAAAAATGTTGTGCCATATTTTGATAGCGTCTCTTGCAAAGAAAGGCAGAAACATGCATACCATAACACATCATAATATGGCTTGCTACGAATTCATCAAATATGTAACAAATTTATCAAATAAAGAACTTTCTTAGCTTAAATATGTACTCCCGTTCCTGGGGCCTCCATGCACCGCGCCCAAGGCAGATCCGTCTCTTTTTGACGTTATAGGTACGTTTCCCTAAGAAAACTTAGGCCAGGACGCCCTAGGCCCACAGTAAAATGCAGCACTGCTTAGAGGAAATGGTGCAATTGGTAATTTAAAAGCATTCCTGATATTTGTCACAACGGCCTTAATCTTTTTTGCCATTCTGTATTTTGCATTGGAAATTGAGAAAGCCACATGCAAAAAACGAAGCCAGTTTTGATCTTTTTGCCAGTTTAATCAATAACTTGTCAGTTGGCCTGCTTTTCTAATAAGAGCAATAGCTTTCATTGCAGAAAGTGTTAACGATTTGTCAAGGTGCACACGCTTTGATACAATGACATCGCCTGTTTAATGCTATACTAAATGCATCCATTGATAAGACCACGATGTAAAATAAATAAAACCCCCGTTTGTTGTATTCAGCTGTTCTCTTTTTATCTCTCCCCTTGAGCCCTTTCTTCTACGCCAGTAACCTCATCTTCACCTCCAAGGGTCTCTCTGAGCAGCCCCTGTGCATCGATATATATATATCTATCTTGTTGGCAAATTCAGAAGCGCCCACGTACGTCTCTGGTGAGAAATATACACGTCTGGCCAATGTTGAGTTTAATAAGACTGATCCAAACACTGAAAAACGTTTATTTTACTTAATACTAGGAACAAAGCCTCTTTTCACTTGATCCAAAAAAGCTAAACCTCTGCTACTTTGGTAATTGTCTCTGAGCTAACGAAAAATAATACTCCATTATCTGAGTTGTGCGAACTTCATATATTTGTGTCTGGTATCGCTTCTTTTGTGCTTTGGATTAATCTTTATTTGCTGGATTGACATTGAGCGGGGAGAGATTGACGTATGTAATCAAAACGAAGTAGTTCCATAACATACTAGGCCCGCGTCACTGACTCTAAACTGGAGGGGTCACCAAAGTAAAGAAAGTTTTCTCTTACCCCTCTTGCCCTAATTGTGTACTTTGGTTCGACGTATGTGTTGAAATCTAAAGGTTTATCTATATAAACAATTAACGCTGGTTTTATTATTTCATTTAGCGAAAAAGTGGGGAGGCCATGGCCCCCCTGCCGTCCTGTTGCGGGGGACCTGCCATAGCAATATCCACGCTCTATAATGTAGTATCTAACATTCAAAATGCCCCATCGAAACAAATCAGCCTTATTGAATAATGTTCTTTACTGATACCACTCTACTGGAGGGGTAGTTGAGGCTGCCTTCTTGTTAGATAACCTACCAAGGAAGCTATACAATGCAAATACAAAAATACAGCAAAATAAAATACAATACAGTACGATACAACACAATACAGTTTAATACAGCACGATACAATCCAATACAGTACATAACAGTATTATATAATATAATATAATATAATATAATATAATTATATAAATAATAATAATAATATAATTAATATAATATAATATAATATAATATAATACAATACAATACAATACAATATAATATAATATAATATAATATAATATAATATAATATAATATAATATAATATAATATAATACAGTATAATATGATATGATATGATTTTATATGATACAATACACAAGGGTTATTTGCATTGTTTTGCATTTGCTGGCTGTGTATGCACGCATTTTTTTCATAACAAACCGTCTATAAGATTTTGAGCCCAAAGACTACCAAAAAGTACTGATTATCTTCGACTAATACAGGCTCGAAAATTCTTCGTTTAAAGATGAGATGAAAATGACTCTTTAATGGTGATAGGGAACCTACTTCCTCTTAAATTCATATAGATTATAAAAAGATAAACTTCTTGCGACTTTTGTCTTCGACTGTTATGAATTTTCCATTTCATTTTCATCTAATTTTACTTTTTCGTTTCAAGAGGTAGCTCTTTAGTGTTAGTACTAAGAAACCTGCAAGAAGCTTCCATTGCTAAAAGCATAAAAAAATAAAGAAAATCGAGTGTAAACCCCCGTCCAGTGTAATGCGTGCAGAAGGATTCTAACCGAATATAACCGAAATCTGCACCAAAAAGATGATAAATTAAATATTTCTATAGGATCAATAGTTGAACAGATAATCCGAGATTGTTCATAAACGAATAATCAAATAATTATTTGTTATCAGTAAATAAAATCAATGATTCATACCGAGGAGGAGCATTGGGAACCCGCGATTCTTTTTCTATAGAAGGAAGCGGCCTTTCCTTGTAAGCAGCCAGCTGCTCAGGCTTCATTTCAACTTTATTATTCATTAGTGAGTGTTGAGATATGCTGAAATTTTCATTTGAATCGGCCAAACTATTTCATGTTGTTTGTGTGTATTCGCGGAGTTCTTCTGAGGCGATCGTTGAAAAGAAATTTGATTTCAACAATACGTTGATTTCAGTTAATTAAATGCAACAACTATAACTTGTTGAATGATTTCCAATACTCTATGTTTCGTTCGAGTTAAGCTACCAGTTTGCTGCCATACCTCTTTTAAAATTTGACTTCGTGTTAGTCATTTATTAAAGCAAACAGCCATCATGGACGAAATATTTCACTTCCAAGAGCGACCTTTTATTGACATAAATAGCAATATCCAATAAAATTTCATAAAAATTCCAACCTGATGTTTCATCCTATACTTAATTTAAGATAATAAAATATGCGGTTTGAAATGAAATCCTGCTAAGGCCTTTACCTGGAAACGCTAAGTGATTAAAAGTTGATTTTTGGTTATTTTCAGCAATGTTAACATAGGGCAATCAAGACTTAAACAAGGTTATTGGGTTACTTTATCAAACAGCCGGACGATAATAAAGTTTATAAGTAAATATTTCAATTAGATATTTGCCCAGCCTGCCTATAGAAGCTAGCCCTGCTCAAAAGTTATAAGCTTCCCTGTGGGTGTTTTTTATAATACCGCGTAGGACCAACTTTCGTCGTATTGTGCGTGTAGGATTTTTAATTGTATGGTTTTAAGGCTCGTTATTTCAAGGGCTCGGATATTTGTCAGAGATCAGTGCTTGGTACATAGCCTCTCTTTCAAATCGAACCCTTTGCAAGTTAAAACATTTTCCTGACTGCCTAAGTTGTGCCTGAAGGCGCTGCAATATTCAAAATGAGGTTGTGTTGAATATTGTTATAGAGTAAACTGAGACCCATTTTTAGGTTTTAGAACAGAAAGCATGCGATCAACATCTCACTTTGCGACCCATTTTTTTATTATAACTGCTTTCCATTTCTCTGATCTTCTTTGTCGAAGCAAGGCATCGAAACTGTTAAAATTGCTTTGATTTATGATTTAGTTAAGTTTTTAGGAATTGAAATTGCTGAAAGTAAAGCTATTTCTCATTTTTTTTCTCATTTTGTGAGTTTTTTCTCATTTTTTTCAGGTTAGGGAGAAAATCTGTTATGTTTTGTTGCCTGGCAATTGTTTCCCTGATAGCAACATTGTCAGCATTTGCAGACTCGTTTTGGTTCCTCATAATGGCTCGATTTCTCACCGGATTTTTCCTGTCTGGCGTTGCTGTATCTTTATACGTCATTGCATCCGAAATAACGGGGGCCACTTACCGTTTTCATTTGGACCTATTCATATGGAACTACTTTTCCGTGGGACTCATGGTCCTAGCCCTTAAAGCATATCTTCTTCAGAATTGGAGGAATCTGCAACTGGTCACCACACTGCCATATTTATCAGTGTGTGTTTTCTTTAAGTAAGTGTAGTGCTTTATTGAACTCTGTGTTCCGTTGGCAGATAATGTATTTTGTAAGATAATACATGCTTTATGTGTCCAGTATGAATTTCGTCTGAATTATTTTTATACTTCCTGGTGATAAAAATGGTAGGAGTTGACCTGTTGCAGAGAGATTTGACTGCCTCTGTTCTGCATTTTTTTTATAATTTTCCTTTGGACGTGTGAGCAATGGTTTGCTCTGCCCAATCAGACAAAAGTTATCATCCATTGCAAATACTTCAAATGCTAATTTATCCCTTAACTGCACTCTGCCAGAACTCTTAGAGCTAGGCCCATACACCTTGAAGGCAATATTCCGTCAACAGGAATATTTATACAACAACGAATTCATATGTCACACTCACAATAGAGGCTATTTGAGACGAATTTCAGATGCTTGTCACAAATTATACCTCGCTTTCACAGGGTTTTTCCGGAATCACTACGATGGCTTTGGAGCACTGGGCACTACACAAAAGCGAACAAGACTGTAAGTAAGATAGCTGCCGAGAACAAGAGGTCTGACGCACTCAACATGTTCCCCGATGTCCTGTCAATCGAATCGGATGACAACGAGCTCGGCTGCTTTGTTTTGTTCCGAAGCACCAGGCTAATGATGCACTTTGTTGCCATGGCATTCAGTTCGTAAGTTACATTTTGTTTAACTTGGTTTTTAACATGACCCCCATTAAGTTGATTTCAATACACGGTTGTCTCGACCTACATCAATTTTCGCAGTATTTATGTCTCTAAAGGTTGTCTTGTGAAAATGGGAAGGAAAACGTAAGCACCCAATGGGCCAAATAAGACAAGAGGATCAATATAAGATCATGTCCTCTCATAGTTACTTGCTTACTAAATTGGAGTGTAATCACCTTAGGTTTATTGCAGTGATTCTTCATCCTTGCACCCCAGTTCCTCCCTCGGTTCCTTCTCCTATTCTGCATTATTTTTTAAGCCTCGCCGTAAACCATCATTTGCTTGATGTTGTTGTCTATGTCGTTTTGATATCCTTTCATTTCTTTCACAGACTGGCCGTCGGCTTTTCTTACTTTGGGCTTTTCTTGGTTTCTGATTACCTCAGTGGGAATCTCTACACTGATTTCGCTCTAATGGCTGCAGTAGAAATCCCTGCCAATTTTCTTGCAATTTTTGTAGCAAGAAGGTTTGTATCTTAGAGCTCAAATAATCTATCAAAGTTAATGCCTACGCATTATATGGTATGATAAATTGAGCGGGAAGAGGTCTACTGTAAGATCTACTGTCTCCTAATTTGTACATTTGGAGCTTTGAATTACTTGTCCGTTTTTTTACCACACATCTTCCTATTCTCTACCTTATTCAACATATTTGTTTTATTCTACATTTTATACCAGGACCTAACCTTGCTTATTCGTGGCATTTACTATCGAAGTATTATTTTTTTCAGATTTGGTCGCAAGAAAACAGTTATGTTGAGTTTTTTGGTCACCTGCGTGATATCGGGTGCATTATTTGCGATTACCAAAGATCGTGATCGAGGTTTGATACATTTCCCTTCATATCATCTAAGCTCGTGTTTTTTGTGACTATTGCTTTATCATTGTATGTTAAGCTGCCTTGAGAAGTGATACTTTCCCAGAAAGCCGATAAATGCGACATATTAATCTAATTTAAATCTTGAAGATTCGGTGAGACAGAACTAAATCATATTGTCAGGCAAAGGTACATGTTTTGTAACTTAAATCATTATAAGGCATACCCCGATTTTAATTGTTCAGAAGTGGCAAGATTTTAATCTGAACAAGATCAGGTTTAAAGTCAAATTTTAAAATCACTAGATGTTGCATCATTGTTGTTGTATCAATGTTGTTTTCCTCAGAATGGCGCTATGCTAGCCTCGGTGTGGCTTTATGCTGCAAATTTGCTCTTACTGTCGCCTCACTTTCATCGATGATTTGGACGTCCGAAGTACATAAAGCTGAAGGGAGGTAAGATTGGCGATCATTAACATATTAAATTCTAGCAAGGCTCAGGTGGTTTTCAGGTGGTTTTGGTAACAGAATCCAATTATACTTGACACTAAGTTTGCTTTCAAAACATCTTATCTCGCTACATATCTTTATTTATGCGGCAGCTTTGTCAAAAAACTCTTACAGACTTGCCGACCCTATGAGATAATTTGCATGAGATATTTGTCCATGGCACCAAAGTCCACCATATTCTCAAAATTTTATCGAGCTCATTTTGAAAACAATGCTTGTCTTGACCAAATATTTTTGAAAGCTCCGTCTGTACTTAACCACGATCAAATCTCTTGAAAAAACCTACTTTATCATGCAACTTAATTTTCTATATAAAATGAGTTTGCAAAACCATGATTTTCTTGCATGGTTTTTCATAATGGTTCTAAAATGAAACTTGGTTATCTACTTAGATAATCAAAAACCAGCTCGGACAAATAAGACAAACCAGAGTTTTTCACTTCAAGATTTTTTGTCTATGGGAAAATTGAGTCATAAGTTGCTGTTGCTCTTTGCATACCAAATTGATGCCTTGAAATTCATGTTATTTCATAAAAAAACATAAAATTATATCATCTTTACTGTCAGAGTGCCTGCAAACTCTTTTTTCAATGGGACGTCTGCCGCTTCTGATTTAATGGAGTAAAGCAGGAACTTCTGATTTAATGGAGGAACTTTTCCAAAGATATCTAGACGTAATTGTTGAAACCCAATCGGCTTGCCAATTTGCCTTCAATTTCCAAGTATTGTGTTTTGCGGACATTAATAGTTCGATGATGCTGACACTCTTCTTAAAACTCGTACGATTTTCTGCAAACAATTTTTTGGTGCAGCAAACATTTAAAGACATTCTTAAGCTTTTTGTCTGAAACTCCTAAAAGCCTGACCCATCAGAATAATGATCAGAAACTCTAAGAACAAGACGAAACTTTAGGAAATATATACCCTATGATATTATATTTCTACCGATCCAACGCTACTTTGTTACTGGGTAAATATACTTCGTAACTTAACATATCAATCACTCTACTGAAGTTTTATAGTCTGAAGAGTATCAGATGAAAAGTTTTTGTATGTCATAAATTATCTTTATCGTCAATGCCATTACAGTAGATCTGTCTCCTTTCAGGTTTCTCTAAACTCGATCTATCAAAAGGAATCATCCTTTTCCACTTTCTTTCCGCAATCTTTTTGTATTTCTGTTCTCATGTCTTGTTCCCCTATTAAATTAACAATTCGACTTTACAATTCAATTCTTGTAATTTTTCTTTGGTTGGCTGCTGTTTCTGTTTCTGTAAGTAGTAATGAACCTAAAAATGATCCTTGTAGTGCACCAATTTGAATTACTTGAGTCCATCTTTCATTGAAAGGATACGTTTAGTGGCAGGTACTAGTAACATGAGCAATATAAAGAGATGCTTCAAATCTAGCCGTTTCCTGAAAACCAATTCTAACTAGAAAATAGTTATCTAGTCTGCCTTTAGTTTGACGTCACATCTATGCCTGTCCACACTGAACTGTGTCAGAATTGTTTTTACTGTATATTTTTATCCTCATCCAAATTTACTGTCACAGAATCTTGAGACATTGCCTTGAAGCATTTTCTCCTGTATAAGATTTAACTACATAGTCCCTTTCAATAACATTGCATTGAACATCTTTCTTCTGTCATGAATTTCCCCTGTTTATTTGTTTCATTGCAAAGAAGTCACCGACGCTCGGAGTAACGTGTCGGGTAAACAAGATTCCAGTAGTGGCCTTAGTTTTTTGTTGCTGGTACATCAATGATAGCAACACACATTGAAATTCCTTAATGGATTAGTTTTTTTTCGCTTCAATTTTGCTTGATCCTTTTGCAGATATCAACATGTCGGTGTTGTGAATTCTTTGCGGCTCCTTGGAGGTACAGCTGCTCCATGGCTCACCACCTACAGCCTTGAAAGCGATCCCGGAGTTGTTTTCGCAGTGATGAGCGGACTTTCCGCTGTTGCCGGACTGTTATCTATTCTCTTACCCGAAACAAAAAAGACCAGAGATGATTCAATGGAGGACTCAGAAACAGATTACAAATGCTTGAATGGTACGATAGACCAAAACCTGAACCAAACTATGCTAACTAGCACAAGTGAACCCGAGAAGCCAAACATTTCAACCGATATTAAATTTGATTACGCGAATTTATCTCAAATGGACCGAGAAACAGATATATAAGCAACTGGTATCTGATGATTCAAAAACAGCCTAGGCCCTTTTCCATAAAACATCATCTTTAAGCTGCCAGTGTGATAGGATGTATAACTATACATGATTCTAGCCTCCATATAAGGCAGATGTGCCCAGATATGGTGGATGGGTCCTATATAGTGGAGACCTACATAGTGTTGCTATGATCTTCGCTTGGTCTTCTACAGTAAAAACGCATAATACAGCGACTCATAACAGGCAGTGGTTCTGCCATATCACTGTACCACAACCGCAATTGCATTGATTCTTGTATTTTGCAATCCAATTTGGTTCACAAATCAATACAGTGATATCGTTTATTTAATGTCCTTGTGAGCGTTTGCAAATCATACCCTATTCACTTCTGCGTAAAAATGCAAATATGCTTGAAATAATGGAACTATATCTGGAATGGATCATGGCTTGGAGTTCATTGTGACCTTTCAATTTCACAATCCCTGGTTGGATACTATATTTTCGATTATAGTGAGTCGTAAAGGGCCTATCTGAAAGGGCTCTACATATCTGCTCCATTCAGGTCTTCAGCCAACAAATGATACTGAACAGCTCTCGAGACAACTTAATCTCGGTGATATCCAAACGATTTCTAAAATCTACCAGAGGACTGAAGACGAGGACTGAAGCATAATGGCATACTAGCTTGCCATTGGTGTCAGATTGTCTTTTGAATGGATGTACTATAGATCATAGCATAGATATTTTCAAATTTAATTCTGCTGTAATCTATAGAATATATTAAAAATGACAGTATAGAAAAATTCTTTTTTGTTTTAAGCTTATTGCATTGATCTGTTTATATAAGCTCAGGCTGACTTGACTGTACCTCAGGCAGGTTAGATCTCACGGTTAATGCCACTGTTGACATTTCGCATTTTACATCACGTACCAGGACGAACTCGCTTTTATGTATAAAACTGTGGGGTAAGTGTGTTCCATTTATGCAAGATAGAGGGTCAAAGAAACTGTTCCACTACTAGTTGAAGATAGAGTGTAGGGGTAAAAAAAGAACTGGCAACCTTCTTGTTGACAAACGCAAATCTGTTTGCATGAAGAACATCCAATTTGGCATGAAACAGAACTCAACGTGCCTCTCAGCAACCTACCCTTGGTTATGTATAAGCAATCTAATAAACGGAGGCAACAGAAGGATTTAGAATGCTGAAGTCCCCTGTTTTAAAGACGTTATGAAAGGTATTGGTTATCTATAGAGGGATTTTAAGCAAAATTTCTTGCATTTGATATCAATCTTCTCAATTATTAATCCTCAAAAAAATCTTTGGCACAAATGAATTTGCAATGATCACCATAGAAGCTCCACTTGTTCTTTTTGTGCATTCAGAGTCATAGTCAAAATTTCTCCTGGCTTATCTGCTATCTCAAAACGATGCAAAACATACTTCACCATCTGCATACCTATCACTGTCTGCTAAATGCAAACATGTTTCAAACTGCGTCCTAATTCCCTCTAAAGAAGCTTATGCTTCCTTCGATTTCTCTAAAAATATCGTCAATCTATTATGCAAGCAACTGTTGTTTTCTCATCTACTAAAAACATATTAAAACTAGTGCCACACGAATCTTTTTGCAAAAATTAAAAAAATATACAGGCCCAAAGTTTTTACAGTTTAAACAAATTTCTTGCACTCAGTAATTCAAAATGAAATTTCAGATCCTAATTGAAGTTTTTTCTCACTTTTCACACGCTTAATTAAGAATCATAAAATTTGATTGCGGCATTAACTTGCTCCGTGGCACTTATGAAGCTCAACCTTAAGATTGATTTTCATGAAATTTGTATGATGCTTGTAAAAATGCAAGTTTTCCGTCGATCAAGAAGTTGAAACCCAAAAATTCCCTTGGTTCTTTACAGCCAAGACCCAATTTCCATTCCCTAAGTCGAAGGTCTCGACTAGAACAGCCCGTTGAGGTCAATTGCATGTTGTATGGGGTACGGGGGAGGGTGTTCGAACTCGTTATTTTCATCGGGTCACCATTGATCTGACGAAACTCCCATTGTTCTCGAAACTAACATTTATCGAAATTCCCAAAGGAAACGACCTTCGTGCTTGTTGAGCATGAATATGTAAGCAGATTTTCCTTGGAATTTCAAAACAACACTATCAGGATATGGCAAATTTAGGCCTTTTTAGCATTCCAGTTTTTGTGAAGGAGAAGACTATATTCTACAACCGGATTATCTTAAATTTAGAGCCCAAAAGAACACAAAGGCATGCTCGATTATTATCTGAAATTTAGAGCCCAAAAGAACACAAAGGAAATCCACAGGATGCACAAGTTGCGCTTAAAATTTGATGCACCAATTGCACTGAAATCGTCTTTATGGTGTACTATGCGTCAATGCTGACGTCGTTCTAAACCTTATAGTTGCTTGAAATGAACACAAAAGTTGCCAAACTAACGCAATGAGTGGCGAACCTGCTGTTTTAAAATGTAAGTATACATTTACAGAATTCATTTGTTTGTAAATCGTACCTTTTGTGAAACATGGCTGCAAATATTGAACAGATGATATTCTATAAGAAATATATTCACGCATTACTGGCCATTACTTCAAAACACTTCTTGTACATCGATCTTATTTAAGAAATTACTCATTACATTGTTTTTGCCATTTTTTGAAGGAGCAGGGCAAGTAGGGTGTCCAATGAATGCAAAGCTAAAATATTATTCATATATTTTTAACTTCAGCGTAGCTAGGTTTCTAATCCGTCTGTGTCCTCTAAGAGGTTTGCGGTTCTTGACTGGTTGAAACCGAATTGCTGGTTTTCTATCGGGTAAATAGATCAATATCCTGTTTTATACCAAGTTTTCAGATCGTAACCTTCCACTACCTTTCATATTTTTTGGCTGAAAATAACCGTCATTAGTGGGTGAAAATATCGCATCAAAGGGAAGGACTTTGGGCAAGGTATCAATAAAGTCTTTCGTAGTTGGGCTTGATTCCCTAGGCCCTAGTCACAGTATATAGAGTGAGCTCCATGTATTGACCCACAAGTATAAGCGATTGAGAATGTGAAACATATTCCATATGCAAAAGATGATACTGTAGATGATACTGTGCAAATTAGATAAACTATCAAGTCATCTATATTTAACTTTTAGCCTTTAAGTCCAATATAAAAAGGATTTTCTTCGAAACTTTACAAGAATCTAAATAACTTTGCCCATAATTTATCTTGTTAAAAATAGACAAGATAGCTGACAGATCAGTTGGTAAAGATCGACGGAAGAATAAGATTGGTAGTTTCTAGAATATTCAATTTAAAATATAATTCAAAGATCAGCATCAAAACTAAATCTGTATACACTTAAGCGAGAATAGATCGTTTAGTTCGATCAATCGTAAAAAGATTTAGCGATTTCCTTTAGTTTCAATAGAAATCGTTCCTAAGTGATTCATTTGAAAATAGCAAGCAGATGTTTTATATTTCTGTTGGTGTATCATTTTATGTATTAAATTGAATTACTACCGCAAAATTTGAAGATGGCACAGATTAGCTGAAACAGAGCATACTGAAGTAGATTTCTTCCTTAAGGCTATCAAGAAAAGAACAAGAAAACAAAATCATTTAGTTTTCATTTCAGTCAATCAATTCAAATATCGTTATTCAAAACAAGGGGGTTTATGCCTCCTTGTTCTACCTTTGCTATGTACCAGTATTTTCATTGCCATCTTGGATTCTATCAATGAATAAATAATATACAAAAACTCAAAAGGTGAATATCATTGTCCGTTCTGCTTTCAATCAAGAAATCGAGTTTCCTGTCCTGCTATCATTTGAGTGCTTACGTTTCTTTTCTATCAAAAGAGCGTACTAACGGTCGATAATGGAAATTATGTTTGATGGAGGCCATATATGAGTCTCAACATAATGCGACATTTTGATTTCTGTCCCATTTTGACACAGATCGCTGATTTGCTTTTTAACATCAGAAATATCAGAAATTGGTTCTTTTTTCTATATACCACTCACCTGCATATAAATTTCTTGTATTATTAAGCGGGAATTTTTGTTACAGGCTTTGTGATACAACTTAAATCACAGCCCGAACAAAGCTACTTGCTGCACTACAAATGCCTTGGTCATGTTCCTAAACCTCTTCTTCATTCATGGCTACTGAACATCCTGAATGAACGAAACATCACCCAAAAACACATTTAGTTTTTCTAGACTTCATTGCAGATGGAGAACAATGAACTCCTAACCTTTTCTTCAGTTCATCATTCTACCCGCTGCAAGTTTATTCACATTAAATTTTTTCTGTTAGTTTAGGCTAATTTGTTAGTTTGGCTAGATACTGAAGTTTTCATTTCTTTTATTCCCTAACGAATTACTATACAACACTACGAAGACGATAAATATCATGACTACCCCCTGGTTTAAGTATGGGCCTAAAACACAGCTACGAAATGCTTCTTGTTTAATACAAGAACGAGTTTCAAAAATATGAGAAAAATGAAAGAATTTTTGCATTTGAATCAAGAAATGATTGCTTATGGCCGCACAGGATGACACAAAAGTTTAACGGAGACAGCCGGGGCCCCTACTATTTATTCATTCTATTTATTTATTCTTTCTATTTATTCAAGTTTATATTTGATACAGGCTTGAGGCCCTTTAATATCGTTATTTACATCTTGGATGCCAGTTTCAAAGTAAAATAACATAGAAAAAATGTTTGCTGAATGAATGTGACCACTTAAGGTTTGGGGCCTTAGTTTCTGAACTAAAGGTGATTTGTGTCTGTTTTGCCACTGAGATGACATCAAAGGGTAAACCCACATGAAAGAATATGGAAAATTGACAAGAAAGTGTCTGAAGAGAACAGTGGATACTCATGATATCAAACTTTCAAATTTTGGAGGAGTCTACAGGGATCGGGACTTTATGATTTTACCATACCCTTTCCTTTAGATTTTCAATTCCAAGCGAGCTGCGGGTATAGATTCTGGTACTGGAGAGGTTAAATAGGGGTAAAAAAGTGGCACAATTCCTTCAAGAGGTTATTCTGTTTTTTTGAAGATGAACGCTGTAAATACATTGCATATAACAGATATTAACGATATTTAGTATCAGGTTGACGCAAAAAAGTGAACCGTTTGCAACATCAATTAATTTCCACTAAACAATAGCTACATTAATTGCCTTTAAATGATACTAATTTATTAACCCATTATCAACTAACCCATTAAATTTAATTTTCACGTCATAACTACATAAGTTACCAGTTTAAAGTTTCCTATCATTACAATTAAATCTTCTGAAGAGCCCCAAGGCAGATTTTGTAGGAGGAAAGTTTATTGAAGATGGCGCCTGATGAGGTCAAAAACGTCTTGTCAAAAACGCCAAGCAAAGATGGTTTCCGCTTTTTGAAGCTCTTTGTTATAATCTATGATGCATATTTGCATAAATATTTGAGAGTTTTGCAGAATGCTAAATGCCGCAGTAATAGAAAAATGCTTATAACGGTCTGCTTTCAAGCAGATTTAGGCAAAAAAATTGCATTTAGCTTTAATAAACCCTAGATGGGCTTTCAGTATTGAAATAGCAGTTGTTATATATTGATGAAGTTATCAGCGTTCTCGCAAACTTTAGCTTGTTTAAGATTCAAGTATCAGAACTGCATTGAAATGCATTCATTCGTAATTTTTCCTAAAACAAATGTTATTTAAGAATGCCATGTATTTTAGAATACCAGCACACTATGACATGTTTTCTGCCATGTGACGTCATTGAGCTAACATCACTTTTAACAGTTACTTTAAACTACAGAAAGATGACTTATTAATACATCAAAAGTTGCATTTAGCTCCATAAAATTTTTAAATTTTTTAAACCATTTAAGAAATGTTTTTGCATGTGCACTCTTCCTTATGTCATATGTCCTTCTGCGCTGAAACATTCCTTTGCAAGACTACTGCCTCTGTCGTCTTGGATTGTCAGTTGTGTAAGCTTATCAAGAGAATCAGCCACTTTCTTGTTAAACAAATGCCAATTAGGCCCTTCGCTGTTCAATTTTGACGGATCTGCGGGCGAGTGAAAAGGGGTGATATCTGTAGCAGGCGTGTTTAACTGGGAATGGCAACCCAAGAACTTCGAGCTGTTTGTTAATACTTTTAGTGCTGGCGTTGCCCTCTTCCCTCTCTTGTTTTCAGACAATTTGCTTTTATTTATTGCTTTCTTTGGCACAATATTGGGAACAATCTGTGGCTTTTCCGGCGGGTTATTCTGTGTTTCAGCAATATGCTTCGTGTCTTGTTCACTGGCTGTCATTTCCTCTGCTTTACAAATGTCTGTCAAGACCTCAATAGCTTCAGAACT